CATCCACACCCAAACCCTAACCCTAGCCACCAGAGCCCCTCGCCGAAGAAGATAGCCCAGCCGTTGGGGAGTCGACTGCCACCACCTGACGCCGTACCGGAGCAATTTTCGATCGGGAAACGAGGTAAAAATTTCTCCTCTTACACAAAATTCAATTTTAAACCCATCCATGGCCAAATCGGAGTGAAAAAACCGGCCGATTGGCCAGAAACCACCGCTGAAGCTCGGCGCCGTCGCCGCAGGGTGTTTCAAAAAATGCCTCCATTGAGGCCCTTCCCGTTTCCCGTTTGATGTGATGTTTTCACCGTTGTGACCACTGTTCCCTTTTCTACAGGTTAATCGAAACAAAACATCCAACCGCAACGTGAGCCGAATGAGCCGCCGCACCGGAGGGCCCCACCACCGTTAAGTTTTGGTTTTCTGCTTTTGTTCAGCCCACCGAGGGCCCAAAGTGTGTTTTCTCACAGGAACCAGTGCAAGTTCGACTGAATTCGGGCAAAAAGGGTCAAAAATAGCCAACCTGAGGAATCTCTGTCGATTCCTGTTTGATTTATTTTACAGTTTAGATGCATTATGGTATCTGGTTTATCTATTCTATAGTTTTAAACGTATGTATCACTGCTTACTTCACTACCGTTTGATTTTAGGAATCTAAGATATAATTGCATTGTTGGATGCACGTTACTTGTTTATGTATTTATGCTTGATTTGGTGATGGAGACTAAGGACAAATAGGAATGAGATGTGATCTAATAAATGGATAAGAGGACAATCTCATTAGATATCTTGGGAGATGGTGGACGGACCGGGTTCATACGGAACCCTACTGTGAACGTTGTCTCATACCAGACGGGGTATGAAGACTTGGTCATTTGGCGCTCATACCGGATAGGGTATGGGGATGGCCCGTTTCACCCTCATACCGGACGGGGTATTGAGGTTTAATGTCTTGGCACTTACACTAGACGGGGTATGGGGACGATCCTGAAATTAAGATTGTTAATGGAAAAGGGTTCACGTGTAGCGGGGACACCCCTATGAATCCCCATGGATACTAGTAGGCTGGTGAAATGAGAAACGGTGATGATTAGTTATTGTTAATGAATATGAATTTATGATATGTTCTGTGTTACTGATTGTGAATGAAGTTATGATCTGTATGATGTCATTGTCTTTATAGGTTGTTTTCGCAGGTTCTCCAAGGGTAAGGAAAAGAAAAAATGGTTTTAATTTTATTGAATGTATTGATTTAAAATTTGTACTCCATTGATTGTTTTTTGTTTTCTACCAATCTTTACTTTTGTGACGGTGATATATTGTGGTGTCCTTACTGGAATAGTGTAACTCATCCCTTATTTAATTATTTCAGATCAAGAGGACCCGGTTCCTTAAGCCGATCCGCAAGAATGCTATGAGTAAATGCTAGATACTTTATAGTTTTGCTTTATTTTTTTTCTTCTATTTTTTGTATTTTTTTCAAAAAATTTATTCCGTGATGTTTGTTAGTACTTTCGAATTATTATGTAAGAGAGGTTAACCTTAACCTTTATTTCGCTTTCATACTCAAATTATTATATACATTTCTTTTTAAATTTTCGAGTTCGTTACAATCACAATCTTAAAAGTAAAAAGAAAAGAAAATATTTTATTTTTTAATAAATTTGTCTCCCGCTTGATTTCAGGCCTGCTTCTAACCCAATTACAAGATCCAACGGATTGAACAAATTACAGAAAAAAAAAAAAAAAAAAAGAAAAGAAACAAGCTTGCTAATGACGACTGGGACTCGGACAAGTTGGGGGCTTCTAGAGCTTCCTCTCCCCAAACTCAACATTCAACGCCTACTCATGTTCAGGTAATGTTTTCTTCGTTTCCCAGCATTCTTTTCCTCTGGCCATGGCTTATTAGGGTTTAACCATTTCCATACAAGGAGGAACAGAAAAGGCTCTAGTCTCTCTGCACCCCCATGTTGATTTCCCCAATCTTTCGATTCATTTCGTTATCCATTCACTCCCAAACCCCTAAAATTTTCGCTTCTTATTTTACCACTTTCTCTGTTGCAGAGAAATTGTATGCTCGCCTAAACATAAACGAAGGCAACATAGAAAAATCCCTGGCCTCTTTGAATGTGAGATTGGATTCTACTTCTGTCAAGGAGGTCTTACGTAGATGTCATCCAAATCAATTTCAAATGGGTCTCAGGTTTTTCATATGGGCTGGCCTTCAGTCGGATTATAGGCATAGTTCATATATCTATAGCGAAGCTTGTCGATTATTTAAAATTAACAGACACCCAGAAATCGTTAGGGATGTTATTGAGGCATATAAGGCTGATGGGTGTCTGGTTAGCGTGAAGATAATTAAGGTTGTTTTGAATTTGTGCAAACAAGCTCGGATAGCTGATGAGGCTTTGTGGGTACTGAGGAAAATGCCTGAATTCAATTTGCTTGCAGATAGTACTGTATATAATGTGGTTATCAGGCTGTTCATTGAGAAGGGTGATATGTATATGGCTGACAAGCTGATGAGGGAAATGGGTTTGATTGATCTTTATCCTGATGTAGTCACCTATATATCAATGATCAAAGGCTTTTGCAATGTGGCTAAATTGGAAGATGCTAGTAGGTTGTTGAATGTTATGAGGGAACATGGCTGTGTGCCCAATGTTGTGGCATATTCCACTCTTCTTGAGGGGACTTTTAGGTTTGGTAATATGGAGACGGCGATGGAGTTGTTATCAGAGATGGAGAAAGAAGGTGGAGAGTGTAGTCCAAATGTTGTCACATATACTTCTGTGATTCAAACTCTTTGCGAGAGGGGGAGAACAATAGAGGCATTGGCAGTCTTGGATAGAATGCAAGCTCAACAGTGTAGTCCAAATCGTGTTACAGTTAGCACTCTGATGAAGGGGCTTTGTGCAGAGGGGCAGGTGAAGGAGGCTTACAGATTGATCAATAAAGTTGTTGCTGGAGGTGGTGTTTCAAAAAGTGAATGCTATAGTTCTCTTGTGCTGTCTTTGATAAGTATCAAAAGGTTTGAGGAGGCAGAGAAGCTGTTTAAAGAGATGTTAGCTACTGGGTTAAAACCTGATAGTGTGGCTTGTAGCCTTATGGTCAAGCAACTTTGTTCCGAGGGACGGATGCTTGATGCATTCTGCTTATATGAAGACATTGAGAGGATGGAAGGCTTATTAGCCATTGACTCTGATATTTATTCTATTCTGTTAGTAGGCCTTTATCAACAGAACCATTATGTGGAAGCTACAAAGTTTGCAAAATTAATGCTAGAAAGAAGAGTTAGTCTGAAAGCTCCTTATGTTGATAAACTATTTGGACATCTGGGACAATCTGGAGACAAGGAACTAGTTCTCCATCTAACAAGAATTTGAAATTGTCATAATCTACAATAGACTGTTCAGATGTTGGGTAATGCTCAATGCCACATGTGATGCTTAACAGCAGCACCACTTACGTGCAAAGTTAGAAACTTTCTGGATTGAATAAAACATGCCCTGTATATCCACTCATTGAAATTTCTTTGATTCTTTTTTTTTTAAATAAACAATTTCTTTGATTCTTAATGCCTGCGGACAACAAACTCTTCTTTCTTTTGTTATTGAAGTATGCAACTCGGATTAAATGGTGGTTTTTTTCACCGGCTGATTTATATGAAATACAGTAACCCATGCTCCAACGAAGCGGGTATCTTCATCAGTTTTTTTTATATGTTACAAGGATGTTTAATATCCTCAGATTTTAATGATTCCTAAAGTGCTGAAACAATATCCAGCTTTTTTGTTTCCTTTTCTTCACTTTAGTTCTTGGCGAATACCTTTGTAAGTATTACATACTTCTTCCAGCTCCCTTGTGGCCTTTCATCTGAACATGGATCCTAGGCGAGGTGCTTTTTATGACATCATACAGAGTCAGGTAATGGATAGAACTTCTCTTAGTATAATCTTTCAGTGGGAGAATACTGGAGCTAGTAACTCCTTTATTGCCCTTATAATTGAGCCCTAAGATTAGTGTTGTGGATCTCGTAACCAGTATCGTGTGTTCCTAGGAGTGTAACTTTGGTTTAGTTAATCAAAGTCGAACCGAACCATATGGAATTCAGTCTATCCAGTTCGGTTTGTTATGTTTTCGACTTTACAGATCAAGAAATCTTGGTATTCAGGTTTTTTTTCAGTTTTCACGTTCCAAAATTTGGTTTTACTGAAAATTTGAATTTCGGAAGTTATTTTTGGAAAACTTTAAATGTTTTGGGTATATTTTATAAAACTAATAAAATATCTAGGAACATATGTCAGAATTATATGCATGAGTTGATGTTTGAAATTTGACTCTTAAATAACTTGCTTTTATGTTTGGTTTTTGAATATTATATGGTTTGCATTTTTTGTATTAGTCACTTCAGATTATGATTAATTAATTTTACAATGTTTAATTCTTATTCTTTAGAGAGAGGGAAGGTAGGGGTGGGTGGAATTTGTATCTGATCAGAAATCTTAATGGTTGAGAGATTGATGAATTCATGGTGTTTCTTCAGCTTTTGTCTAGCGTGCATTTGAATGATACACAGGATAAGTTGTTCTGGAAGCTTAAGAACAATGGAATGTTCACGGTCAACTCCTATTATAACCATCTTGTTAGGCATAATGGAGAGAATGTTATATTTCCGATTCAACACATGGAAAATGACCACTTCTCCTAAAATGACGTTCTTTGCTTGGGAAGTGAGTCGGGAATGTATTTTAACTATTTATATACTAATGAGAAGGGGCAATATCATGGCTAATGCTTGTTATATGTGCATGAAGAATGTTGAATCTTGCAACCATTTACTCCTATGGTGTCCGATGTTAGATAATATTTGGACAATGATCTGTAGTCTTCTTGGCATAAACTGGGTAATGGCAGGGGTTGGTTAGGGAGGAACTTGGGGCTTGGGATGGGACATGCAAGAAATCAAAACTTGTAAAGCTTATACCTCTAACCATTTTTTGGGTTGTGGAAAGAAAGGAACAGTAGAGCATTTGATGGATGTGTGGGGAATTTGTCTAGAATTAGAGATCGGTTACATAAGGCTCTAATGCTAGGTCGATCTCTACGTGTCGGATGATTTTGGGCAAGTTATTGATGTGCTAACTGATCTATAGTTTTGTACATGGATTGCACCTCCTTGGTGCCATATATACAAAATTTAGACTATTTTTATCTAAAAAAACTAATGTTTAGTTGTCATTTTAATCAATTTTACTAGTAATCATTAAAATGATATATTTTTATTATTTTATTGTATTATTTTTTTAAAAACACAGATTAAAAAAAATAAAAGATTGTTTTTTTGGTTTGGTCGATTAAAATTGAAGTGAACAAATTTGGTTTCTGTTCTCATGATTCCGAATTAGGTTTGGTTTTGATGACCTAATTAAATTTAGTTTTGGCTTTGGTTCTCGTTTTTCTATTTATTTTGGTTTTTATTTTCGGTTCAGTTTTGAACCGACTTATAACCCTATACGTTCCATCCTCTTAACGTCTTTATTGGTGCATTTCCTTTTGAATTTCAAGCTTGAAAGGACCTTGAGATTCTTCTTGTGAACTAGGTTGATGGTGGATGTAGAAACTCACCTTTACTGGGAGATGATATATAAATTCATGCAGCATATTCAATTAACTAGCCAGGAGGTTTTTTTCCTTCAAGCCAGTCAGGACTGAGGATTAGATGACTGGGAAATGAATTTATCTTTTGCAATTCCTGGTAATGTGCCTTAGACCACTTGTTAAGCCTAAAATTTGCATAGATTAGAACTGACCACTACAGTAACTCTATTGCACAGTGACATTGCATTCAGCAGTTTGTTTGTTTGTTTTTTGGATGTTTCTTGGGTTCTGTAAAATGCAGACTGGTTATTCTAGCTAACTTGCTGTCGTGCCATATTTTTTCCTCCTCCTAGTGCTAATTCTATTGTGCTAACCCAAGTTTCTATTAAATGCCAGATCTTCATCACATTGCCTGAGCCTGTGCTATTATTTTTCAGGTACTGGAACAAAATCAGTATTGGTCTTTTAGTTGCGGAGCTTATTGTTTTTAGATTATGTACTTGCCAAAATGAATTGAAGTTCATAAATCCGCATATAAAAAGATATCATTTGCTTGTTAATTCTGTCTTAAATTGGTGTCCCCGCTAAAAAGGGCCTTTTTTGCCTCTTCTGCCAATGTTCATAATAATCTCATCCGAAATAATGGGGGTGTAGTTTATCTTTCATCGGCTGCTATTGTCC